TGAGTAAAACTACTTGCATCACACCGTTTCCGTGACAGGTTTTGCAGGCGTCAATAATACCATTTTAAGTTATTTTCCATCCCCTAAGAGGGCGGCCCACAAGGAGTCAGACAAAATTCTTAAATAACAGCATATGTCAAATTTGTATGAGGTTAAACGTCTTAACACACTGTCATTCTAGTAATAACATTGTGATTAATCCCTTGGTTATTTGTGATATACCAAGTCTCATTACTTTATCAACAAGCAGAAGTTGACAAATCTTTATCAATCCCCGTAAATGAACATTTAAATTTAATTGATGAATGTAATCGTACACTATGACAACCTCCCGAGTCCCGAAATATGTATATACGTACGGGTGTAAAATAATAATGATATACTTGATCTATTGAACTCTTATATTTGATAAGTGCATATAAAAAATGAGCGTTGGAAACCACCTTAGCAAATCAAAATCTACTCTACCCAATCTAATAAAAATCTGCAAACGCGTACGTTTTAGACGTCCAGGGCGGGCTATTTACTTTGAGAATCCGCCACTGAACCTCAAAAAGTATAAGAAAATAGCATTTTTAGGAAACAGTATTGTACTGTATTGTTGAAAACAATAAAAATTACGGTATAGGAAAGGCATAAGCTAACCCCCACATTATTGTATAATAATTAGGATCGCGTTTTCTATGCCTTATCTCATTGGATTTAGTCGCATGTTCCTACTGTATGCAATAGATTTAACCAACCTATGTATTTACAGATACAGTTCAGTGAAATAGTTTAAACTGTAAAAAGGCTTGGATGGAGAAAACACAAATGTAATTCCAAGTTTACTAAGTATTACAGTATAATAAATCGGAGCCATTATTTTAGGTTTCAAAACATTGTATTTTAAAAAAACTTCAACAACTAATTAATTATGGAACCAACTGTGGGAACTGTATTATATATTAACACACATTTAGTGATTGGCCAATGTAAATTTAAATTGTTATTCTTTATTTTTAACAGTAGGCCTATTTTAGATTTGAAAGCTACCTTACTGACTTAATGAAATGTACAACTAAATACAGTATACAGGATTAACAGCTACCACCATTACCTCAGATAACTATTAGATTTAGAGAGAACTTTAAATGTAGAACTTCAACTACTTATTATTTCATGACATAAAAAAACATTAATTCCACTTTTTTATGGCCACATCATGATCATGAAATACCTTGTATTTTATAATTGTTTTACAATGTAAATACAATTTAAACACGCTTTTATTCTTGACTTTATTTGCTCTAAGTTAGCGGGTCCCAAACTACAGGTCGGGACCCACTGGTGGGTCGCAGGAGCATTATTGGTGGGTCAGGAGAAAAGACCGAACATAAAATAGAATTTTATCGGGACTCGTAATTTTTCAATACCAAAACTGTCTACTGACTACCAGATTAGTACAAAACGGGTAACGAGGGGCAGGGCTGTACAGTAAAATATTTTCAGAATATTCACTGTTTATGGTGATTGACTTGTTTAAACTAGGAAATACTAATTTTTTAGAATTTTTTCCAATCTTTATGTGTGGATTTGCTACATGACTGTGGCAATTCTTTTACTTATAGGTTGGTAGAGAATTTATATCAATCGGTCTAGTAGTGTCAGTTTAGCTGTTGTAAACTACTTGTCCTAGTGCTCTTACTGGGTTTTGCAAATTTTTGTCATAAGAAATTTATGGTAGTTCTCATACAGGGAGAACAAAAAGTCAAGACCCCCCCTCTAATATTTTTCTAAGTAAATATACAGAGATATTCTTTTGGTGGTCGTGCAATCTTAGCAGGAAGTTTCATTTTGTGATTTTGAAATTTTTGAGTGTCCCCCCAAAAGGGAGGATTTGGGGGGCAACTCAAATATTTTGAATGTAAACCCCCTTCAAGTGACACTTCATTTTGAAGTGTTTACAAAAACTTAAACAATGGTGAAAACTAGAGGTTGCTATCTCTTCTCTATCCAAAATGGTAGCCTGTCAAATGTTGTGGAAAATTGATGGTAAAATTGGTTTGTAATGATAATATAGGCTACCATCTTGGATAGAGAAGAGATAGCAACCTCTAGTTTTCACCATTCTTTATGTTTTTGTACACACTTCAAAATGAGGTGTCACTTGAAGGGGGTTTACATTTAAAATATTTTAATTGCCCCCCAAATCCCCCCTTTTGGGGGGGACACTCAAAATTTCAAAATGATCAAATAAAACTTCCTGCTAAGGTTGCTCGACCACCAAAAGGATATCTCTGTATATTTACTTGGAAAAATATTAGAGGGGGGGGGGGTCTTGACTTTTTATTTACCCTGTACTTATTCTAACTAGTTTGTAATAAGCAAATAGGCCTACAATAATAATAAAGGATTCATAACACTGACAATAATAACATATTATAAATCAATTAATTGTGCTTTTTGTATATAAATGAGAAATAAACATTTTAACTTTATGTCTAGGCTATTAACCCATTTAAGATGTATAATTATCACTCAATTATCAAAGTTAATTGTTGCATACCCAATGTTTAGCTAACGTTGTAAGAGTAATTATAATACAGCCGTAGAAAAATTAAATAATTGTGATTCACGTAAATACAATAAATAAAATATAACTTCGTGAATTAATTTTCGAATCTTTATAAGGAAATATTACTTAGATCATATATATTTAAAACAAATAAATATATATACACATATCCATACATTCATACATATTATATTGATTGAACTTAAGTAACATTTTACAATATTAATCATGCATGTTTAAAATAAATACATTTATTTATTTATTAAATTTTATTTAAAGAAACATTTTCTTATTCCTAGCATTGAAAATGACGATTCAAAATGAACGTGAGTGAATGTAAACATACATGTATAATTTTGTATAGTATTGATGAAGATAAATTAAAGTAAACTAAGATATCTCTCTAAATAGCTCAAAATTAACTGTATATACATGTATTAACTTTAACTGGTAAATAATGCAAAATTACTCGTAGCTTTACGTTAAGTAATGTATGGTAGTTGATTGACTAATACAAATTATAGTAAAATATAATAATGGAAAGAAAATAAATAAATATATTATAGGTACCTATATAAACAAAAGAGATATGAAAGTTTGAAAATAGTTAAACTTAAGTTAAATAAAAAATTAATGAGTAAAACTACTTGCATCACACCGTTTCCGTGACAGGTTTTGCAGGCGTCAATAATACCATTTTAAGTTATTTTCCATCCCCTAAGAGGGCGGCCCACAAGGAGTCAGACAAAATTCTTAAATAACAGCATATGTCAAATTTGTATGAGGTTAAACGTCTTAACACACTGTCATTCTAGTAATAACATTGTGATTAATCCCTTGGTTATTTGTGATATACCAAGTCTCATTACTTTATCAACAAGCAGAAGTTGACAAATCTTTATCAATCCCCGTAAATGAACATTTAAATTTAATTGATGAATGTAATCGTACACTATGACAACCTCCCGAGTCCCGAAATATGTATATACGTACGGGTGTAAAATAATAATGATATACTTGATCTATTGAACTCTTATATTTGATAAGTGCATATAAAAAATGAGCGTTGGAAACCACCTTAGCAAATCAAAATCTACTCTACCCAATCTAATAAAAATCTGCAAACGCGTACGTTTTAGACGTCCAGGGCGGGCTATTTACTTTGAGAATCCGCCACTGAACCTCAAAAAGTATAAGAAAATAGCATTTTTAGGAAACAGTATTGTACTGTATTGTTGAAAACAATAAAAATTACGGTATAGGAAAGGCATAAGCTAACCCCCACATTATTGTATAATAATTAGGATCGCGTTTTCTATGCCTTATCTCATTGGATTTAGTCGCATGTTCCTACTGTATGCAATAGATTTAACCAACCTATGTATTTACAGATACAGTTCAGTGAAATAGTTTCGAATATATATCACATGGTGCGAACTAACTCCAATCCCACTTATTGCAAAAATTATATTACCAAAAAAATGTGGCAGCTACAGTGAGTATAAAATGTAAAAACCAACCATAAAAATTAGATTAGAATGAGTACATTTTGTGAGATGAATTTTATACTTAATTAAGTATACTAACGAAATTCAGGGCCAGTGAATAGAATGTGGTAGTAGGCCTAAGCTATGGATAAATGCAAATCAATCTAGGCAAAAATATCTTATATCTACACAAAAACCTTATCCAAAACAATATAATACGCACACTCCACTATTTGCTCACTATAGAAAAAGTGAGTTAAATTCTATCTGGTGACAAATGGGACGGATTGAAAACAATATTTTATGGACAACTATATTGTCAAGAAAATCTCTCCAAGTTTGTTGTACTTTATAATATTATATTTAATAGGATAAGCTAATATGACTAATTTTAGAGGGACTGTCTTTGTTGAACGAATTAGCGCGTTGAATTTAAAATGTCAACGATCATGTTTTCTGAAATCAGACCTTGGTAAATATAAATAAGTTAAACTAAGGTGACAATATGAAGAAAATATTGAGTAATTTTAATTTATATCCGAATCACACACTACACAATAACATTCTTGCCATTATGAATTCTACATTTTCTATAAGTCAGAGTGCAGTATATTATTTTTTTTAACGTAGTGTGTTGTAGAAACTGATAGGCACTTTAAATAAAATACTGTAATTTCCAAACTAACAAGTAACTGACGTTCAATAATGAAGATACAGTAATCTACAATCCGTTCAGAAACTATAAATCGTGAAGCTTAGAACCATTTACAAAATCATATTAACATTGGTATGATTGGTAAACATTTTATCAATCATCACTTTAAAATTATAATTTACTATGTAATTATTTTAATTTACTCTACACTCATTTTTATAGACTAAATCTACTCTACTTAATCTTGTTTAATCCGTTACTGCATCTGTCAAACCAGGTAAGATAAGAGAATCTATATTACCTTGATAATTTCGAAGAAAATCCGGATACTGTCACTTTAATTTGGTGGAGTTAATAAACGCATTTCACTTTAAAAGCGCACTGACACTTGACAATAAAATACTTTTGAGGTTATATTTTTATGATTCACTCATATTTCATTTAGGTTATCTTATAAATACGCGTGTGGATATTATAATTAATTATACGTTAAACCGGTTGGAATAAGCTGGAGAACACTTTCGTTTACGACCGAAATAGGTTAGCGGTTTGGAGTATCATTTCGTAGGTGTTAGTGCGGCGGTGGACGGCTATGAACTAAACTGAAATGAAAGTTTTGTTTTTGTTTGAGATTGAAACTGAAACAGAAGCTGCGAGCGAGAATCACAGACAACCGGACTGGACTGAAGCAAGAAAAATACACTCCAGTCCAGTCCTGAATCAGGTGACATTAGCAGCAGATACCTCTAGCGGCGAATTTTGCAATCTTCAACAGTTGAGGCCGAAAAATTGTTTATTTTTATTGTTATTTAAATGTTTTACATTGTTATCCATTCTTTAAAATATCCCTCATTTCAGTCATTTATATCATATTTTGTCTTATAAGTTATTGTGTACTTAGATGGATATTGTGAATATATTATTGTTAGTATTTATTACAGATTACGATTTTTTTTAAATATTTCTATATGTAAATGGCTCTGATGGTTGATGAAACATGTAAATAAATTAGTTGTTTTATTTTATTTACTTGTAAAAAAAAGGATATAAATGACTGAAATGAGGGATATTTTAAAGAATGGCTAACAATGTAAACCATTTAAATAACAATAACAAAAAACTGTAAAAAGGCTTGGATGGAGAAAACACAAATGTAATTCCAAGTTTACTAAGTATTACAGTATAATAAATCGGAGCCATTATTTTAGGTTTCAAAACATTGTATTTTAAAAAAACTTCAACAACTAATTAATTATGGAACCAACTGTGGGAACTGTATTATATATTAACACACATTTAGTGATTGGCCAATGTAAATTTAAATTGTTATTCTTTATTTTTAACAGTAGGCCTATTTTAGATTTGAAAGCTACCTTACTGACTTAATGAAATGTACAACTAAATACAGTATACAGGATTAACAGCTACCACCATTACCTCAGATAACTATTAGATTTAGAGAGAACTTTAAATGTAGAACTTCAACTACTTATTATTTCATGACATAAAAAAACATTAATTCCACTTTTTTATGGCCACATCATGATCATGAAATACCTTGTATTTTATAATTGTTTTACAATGTAAATACAATTTAAACACGCTTTTATTCTTGACTTTATTTGCTCTAAGTTAGCGGGTCCCAAACTACAGGTCGGGACCCACTGGTGGGTCGCAGGAGCATTATTGGTGGGTCAGGAGAAAAGACCGAACATAAAATAGAATTTTATCGGGACTCGTAATTTTTCAATACCAAAACTGTCTACTGACTACCAGATTAGTACAAAACGGGTAACGAGGGGCAGGGCTGTACAGTAAAATATTTTCAGAATATTCACTGTTTATGGTGATTGACTTGTTTAAACTAGGAAATACTAATTTTTTAGAATTTTTTCCAATCTTTATGTGTGGATTTGCTACATGACTGTGGCAATTCTTTTACTTATAGGTTGGTAGAGAATTTATATCAATCGGTCTAGTAGTGTCAGTTTAGCTGTTGTAAACTACTTGTCCTAGTGCTCTTACTGGGTTTTGCAAATTTTTGTCATAAGAAATTTATGGTAGTTCTCATACAGGGAGAACAAAAAGTCAAGACCCCCCCTCTAATATTTTTCTAAGTAAATATACAGAGATATTCTTTTGGTGGTCGTGCAATCTTAGCAGGAAGTTTCATTTTGTGATTTTGAAATTTTTGAGTGTCCCCCCAAAAGGGAGGATTTGGGGGGCAACTCAAATATTTTGAATGTAAACCCCCTTCAAGTGACACTTCATTTTGAAGTGTTTACAAAAACTTAAACAATGGTGAAAACTAGAGGTTGCTATCTCTTCTCTATCCAAAATGGTAGCCTGTCAAATGTTGTGGAAAATTGATGGTAAAATTGGTTTGTAATGATAATATAGGCTACCATCTTGGATAGAGAAGAGATAGCAACCTCTAGTTTTCACCATTCTTTATGTTTTTGTACACACTTCAAAATGAGGTGTCACTTGAAGGGGGTTTACATTTAAAATATTTGAGTTCCCCCCCAAAAACTCCCTTTTGGGGGGACACTCAAAAATTTCAAAATCATAAAATGAAACTTCCTGCCAAGATTGCACGACCACCAAAAAGATATCTCTGTATATTTACTTGGAAAAATATTAGAGAGGGGGGGGTCTTGACTTTTTATTCACCCTGTATAAATATTGTTAGGAATAAAAACCCAAAATCGGTGCAATTGTGAAGCTATGAATATTTGGAACCAATTTTGCTTACAAAAAAGAACAAAATTAATTTAGCTACCATTAAACAATTAACGACGAAATAGAATTCCAGATTTTATGCATTGCTGTCAGCTTGAAGCGGAATTTAAAAGACCAAGCTGTAATTTAATTCAAGCGAAGCCACGGGTGAATGATAATAATATAATATACTTTATAAACAAAATATCTATAATATTATTGTTTATATATTGTTTTATTGTTCAAATATATATGTCCCATGTCCTATCACCAACGACATAAAAGAGGGTGACGCTCGAATATTATGAGGGGTGTTGACCTGTAAAGTCCTAAGAAACGTTCAGTGATAATGGTTTTTAGGAATACATTAAGACCTACACGAAATTGCGGGGAATAAATGCAAGAGTCTTCATTTCACTTCAACGTCAACAGTTCTCCATTAATTTCTGCTATCACGAGGACAATCAATAAGGCGCTGGGACAGTCATTAAATATAACTAAAATTCTTTCAAAATCACTGACATGGGTACCTTTAACATGGTTCCAGGGCTAAGCCCTGAAAGTTATCACGAAAATGATGGTATATATAAGCCTACTCGATGAAAGTCTTCATGTATATGTATCAAGTTACGGTGCCATCGGTATAGCAGTGTCTGAGTTTATCACTGCTAATCAAATATACAAAAAAACCAACATCCTCTTTTATACTATAGATACCAATATTTTGTTCTTCTTTGTGATGTTTCAGTGCAGTGGGCTGAAACCCTACTGGCCTGAGGCTGTTTCAGGACTTTGTCCTCTTCAGTCAGTATATTGGGATAAGGAATTGACTATACACTTCTAAAATGCTTAACTTATGAATGAAGGGGTGTATGACAATGGTATCAGGCAGTGGTTAAGAAGTGGTGGTGGTGGGGTGTGGTGTAAGGGAGGCGGGGCTTCGCCCTCGCGGAAAGTCTTATCGCAGGTATAGGAACCAAGGATTATAAGGGTCACTCTGAAATTCGGAGGTCGCGGGATGTAACACAGTTTCGAACCATCAAAAAGCTATTGGCTTTTCTCAGGATAGAAACGGCGACCTTTTGATTGTTGGGCGAGGCAAGCACTATAACCACTCGGCTACCCAGCCACATATTATTCCTGTGCTACAGTCATTAATAGGATTTCGTGGTAAAGCCTTTTATCAAATTTCTAAATAAATAATAATGAGTCAATAGTTTTCTCACAATATTTTAAGCATATGCATTTATTTTGCCTACATTTAATTTTACAGCTATTTAAAACATTCATTATATTTGTCCTTAGTCCAGTGAAAACTTGATTGTAAGTCAATACAGTTGAACCTCTTTTGTACGAACCTCGATAAAACGAATTCCTCGATAAGACAAATTTTTTTTAATCCCCTTGACACTTTCATATAGGTCAATGCTAAAAACACCTCTATACAACGTAGTAATTAAGTTAAAAACCTCCATAAGACGAATTTGTTTGTGACATGGGCTAGGACTGATTAACCTATATACAACGAATATTCTTAGCACAAAACCTCTACAAGACGAACGTGACCTCTATAAGACGAATTTATCATAATCTTAACCTCCATAGTACGTAGTTTTCAAAACAAACAGAAGCTTGTCTCAACATGAAACCCCCACCCATCCCTCTTCCATCCTCAGTCATTGTTTGGAGAAACCTTGGAGCGAGGAGAAACCTCTATAAGAAGAATAACAGCAGCATTAAACCTCGATAAAACGACCCTCTTTATTAAGAATACCTCTATAGTACGAATTTTTCCTGTACCCCTTGAAATTCGTCTTATAGAGGTTCAACTGTACAAGCAGCAAGTGCAATACCTACTAATTACAATAAGTATGCTGTTTCATAAAAACTGTAATAAATTCAGAATATAGATCTTTTATTAAATTGCATCATCCCTTTTAACCTTTTAATAGAAGTCCACTAACCACAAGTATGCCAAAAACAATCAACTCAAACAATTTTCTCCCAAAAGCAAATATCTGCTTGAAGGTTGAAATGAGCTTAATTGATCAGCTAACTAACATACCAACTCCTGATGTTTCAGAGGAATAATTTTTGTCGTACATCATTAGCAATGTTTGTATAAGTGTCATTTGCCAAGTTTTAAATTGCACTTTGTGAAATTCTGAGGATACACCTTTTAGTGGCTTGCATAAATCATTGAATCTAGTCTAATTATTATGAGTGTGATTTTGTCAAATTAATATGGTTACAGTATTCTACTCCTTGGAACATAACATTTGGGCTTGAAAATCATGTATAAACTGTTTTGTTTTTTTTCTGTGTCCTTAGTAACTACTTTTTGTTTATTTGTTATGTAAATTGGAGTACAATTTGAGAAAAACTTAATTTTCTATTGATAACTCACCCCTTAAATTGTATGTACTCAGTTTGTCTATCTATTGCATGCATAAAATGGTAGGCCTTCATTCTTGGAATTAGGATACAGGTTAAATTTGAGCTGCTAATTTTGTTTCGTTAAATTAATGAAATAATTTATAATTTAAACACATTCGTAAAGTCCAAAAATTAGGGGTAAAATTGTGTAACTAGAATGCCCAGTAAAGTAATTAATATTTTAATTGGACATTTATAAAAGAACATCACATAATGGTCATAGCTTCAATCAGTTACAAAAAAATGTAATTATTTGTAATAAAACACCATATTTTCAAAAATTTTCTAGGGGAGGGCACCTGGATCCCCCTGATGTTTGTTATCCATTGCACCCCCCTATTCTAAATACTGCGGGCGCCCATGGTCAAATCTAGATTTCCAAACTCCAACATCAGAGACAATGTCACAAAGATAAGAATTCTCTTTTACAACTTTTGCCCAATAACTATTGAAAGAACTGGGAAACACATTTTATAGATAAACTGATCACTCAATGATGAATATTATAGGTCAGCGATGTACATTCTCGTACACAAATTATCTATATGACGAAACCCCGAGGTTTGAAAATGAGGAGACTAAGTACACCCTCCCCAAGGAGCCTTGACGGCTAAAGGTGAGTTGCGGCTGGGACACTAATCCATCCAAGAGAGACAGGTGAGTTGCGGCCCAAGTATAAACAGGTATACAAAATACAGGAATGTATATGTCTATCAGTTCCTCCACTGCTGTGCTTGGTCAATGTTCTAAATCTATTCTTATGGAGTTTATTATTAGTGAGAAATCAAAACTGCTTGTTGTTTATGAGGGATTTAAGTTTCAAGGTAAATGAAACGTTTGTACAATTTTTTTCTTGCTGCCTGACAAAACGTAGAAAACATACTCTTTGGCACTGAAATGTGTAGCTAGTGAATGTGCTTCTCTTAATTTTCTGAAAACAGTTTTAAATTTTTGCCAGCACTATAAACTTATGGACAATGACAAACCTATAACAACGTGGAGTGCAAACCGAACTAACACAATTAGATCATGTACGATTATTTGATGTACCATTAAACCAACCATATCCTTGGCCGCAATCAACCTGTTTATACTTGGGCCGCAACACGTACAAAACTTTTTTCAGTCTGGGCCACAACTAACCAACAGCGGCCTTGACTCAAGGGCTTTGCTGTGCCTACTTCACTCAAGGTGGATCGGTGCTGTTGATGATATCCAGTGATCGATATGGGGTGGAACAGAGTGGAACCGGTTAAAAAAAATGTAATTTTATTTTCATATCCAATATTGTAATAATAGAAAAGTTCTCCAATAAGTTAACCCTCCAGACCCTTCCGCTCGCTCCATGATCGCTAAGCTATTGGTAAATTTATACTATATATATTAAATAATCTAAATATATACTTAAGTTTCCATTTTAAAAAACCAGAACCCTGTCATTGGTCAAAAATCAGTTTATTGGCATTGTTTTATTGTAAAATAGATGTCTTGCAAATATTTTAGTAAATAAAACACTCTGCAATGTATTTCAATTTGTTACTCAGACTATTACTGTGAAATCAGACTTTACGTTATGTTAATTTAGGTTAAATTAAAAAATAGCTCATTTGAGAAAAGTCATTCTGATTCCATCAGTTCATTATTTTAAAAAGCCACATTGAGAAACATGTCTTTCATTTTAACACAATATTTAAATTGAAACCAATAATATAACAGACATTGAGGCACGAAATTATGAAGAAATTTTTAAATGTGGGTTAAATTAACCACAAGTATGATATAAGCTACCGTACCACTACCCAAGTTGACATCAATAACTGTATTGCAAACACCCATAAGCATAAAAAACAAGGCATTGTTATTTTGTATAAACTTGTACAATATTATTAGTCAAACAAATTAGAATTATATGTGCTTTCACAAGCATTGGACAAATTTAATGTTTTATGGTCATCAAAATACAATTATACAAAACTTTATTTTCATTATATGTATTTACAAAGTTATTTTATAAGATTTCATATATGTTAGTTTTTAAATAAGTTGGCAAGTTTTAAAGAATAGCCCCTGTGTTGTTGGGTAAAATAAGAACCATACTTTCTTGAAAACACTTGAATTTTATTACTTATACTAGCAAAATGTATAATACTTTCATAATTTCATTACAAATCAAATAAAAAGGTCACAGATAAAATTCCTATAAAAAATTAAATGGAATTATTTATTAGTCTCTTGGGTCCATCTGCTGCAGACCACTATTAAGAAAACTAGGATTATGGATAATAAGATTAACTTTAACAATTAAATTTACTTAAACTAACTATAACAATTAATTATAAATAGAACTATATTATAAGATCATTAAATCTAATATAACTACTATTTAAAACTAGATTTAGAATTGAATTTTGGGGGTTTGTCTCTAAAACTGCAAGAGTTTTAAAATTAAAAAAAAATTTTTCTAATTCTAAATATAGAATAACTCCCCCCCTGGTAAACTTAAAGCAAACCAATTTTTAGACGCTCGAAAATTGTTAATGGTGCAGTCAAATTGTTATGAATATTGAGCAAAAACTTTGACCACATCTGTAACACCGGATATAAATATTACTTTTAAATCCCAAGACACCATTTAAAACTACCAGATAAACACCTACTTATACAGGGTGGCTGAAAAGTAACTTACACCCCCCCCCCCTTAACTTTTCAACCATTTGAACAATTTTAAATCTGTTTTCGGCAACCTTCTTAGATATGAGAGGCTACAATAATTCTGGTCAGTTTTGAAAATTTTGCCTAGCCGTGGTAGGGGGTAGCTCGAAATTTTCTAATAGCAAGTATAGTCGAGTTTGGTATCATTTTACAGGTCTTGACGAAACATAACAATTAATTAACATAAAGAAAATAGAAATCGGACCATTAGTAACAAAATGGCAGCTAAAAATGATCAAGACAGTGGTTATTAAAAGTAGTTTTGAACTGCCATTTTGTTATTAATGGTCCGATTTCTATTTTATTTATGATAATTTTTATATTTTGTCAAGACCTGTAAAATGATACCAAACTCGACTATACTTGTTATTTGAAAATTTTGAGCTACCCCCCTACCCCCACGGGCAAAATTTTCAAAATCTAATATAATTTTTGTAATCCCTCATACCTAATAAGTTTGCCGCAAACAGATTTTAAATATATCAAATGGTTGAAAAGATAAGGGGGGGGGGGGGTGTAAGTTATTTTTCAGCCACCCTGTGTATGTGTAATGTGGATAAACATTGTAATAAATTACTTTCTGATTTTCTGATTAACAAATAACGTAATTAACAATGTAATTAAAGCGATTAACAAAATAACGTAATAAAATGTCAATGAATACCTAAATGAAAATGTCACATATCATATTTTGTTTAACAAAATCTGTCAACTTTAAGAACATGGCCATAATTTTATCTGAGGAGTCAAGTCATAGATAAATAAACCTAAAGCACTACATGTTGGTATTGGTAATGGAGTTCTGTAATGGTGACAAGTCCTTGATAACACATTGTTCCTCACTACTTTTTAACGATCAGTAGATGTTGATGATGAGATGTTGATTTTATTCAGATCTGCCGATGAAAGTGATGGGAGTACGACATTTTCAGGCGGGGTAAATTTTCCTTTTGCTTTCATAGCATCTTTCTTTTCTTTTAGTTTCAACATTTCTGAACGAAGTTTTTCAAGAATAGCAAAGTTTGGTTGATTAAGTGAAGCTTTGCTTTGAAGTCTTGTGATCTCTTGCTCCTCTTGTTTCTTTTCTTTTACACTTTTGATGGACTTGTTCCCATACATTCTGAGAAGAGAGCCCCAGTGCTTGATGTTTGGATGCAAAAGTTGCAAGATAGCTTGTGCTGCACGTTGTTTACCATCTCGTTTATTTTTGCACACAACTGTTGCTTTATGTTCCCCCACTGTCATTGTGTATTCATCTTCTTTATGTTTCTTCGAGTTCATTTCATAGTGACTTTTGACCTCACCCAAACCCAAGTTTCGTGACAGACATGTGAGAAGAATAGCATAGGGAGGAGGTTCTGTAGTCTTGGCACAAAACTCAGCCACTCTCGGATCCTCAACTCTTATTTCATCGAATATAGATACGTCGTTGCTCTGGGATCTCTGAGCAATTCCTGACCGCATTCCAAACTGTCCATCGCGTTCTATCTTATCCTTCATTTCAGGAATGAGGACTTCCAATGCTGCTTTGGCTGCTTCCACTTTAGCTTGTTTCTTACTCGCACCCACTCCAACGCTGTACTGCATGTCGTCAATGAAAACTGTAGCAGAATAGGGTGTGGCAGGATTTTGCAGTTCTTTGAATTGGTATTTAGGATGTTTCTTCAATGCGTGCTGAACGTATTCGTGTAGAATGCAAACATAACTCTTCCCATTAGGATTTATAATCCATTCCCCTTTAGACCTAGAATTGGTACCATCCATATTTTGTGTTGGAAACTTTAATAATTTAGTACCACCTGGTAGGGTAGGCCTTTGTCTTTTCTTTAAATCTTTTGTCATCCTTGCATACTTTCTTCTGTCAGCCCATGATTTAAAAGGCATCGTAGTAGTAGTTTTGAAAATAAAAAGATTTTTGCAATATTCACGGAGATCCAAAGCCTCGAGGGACTGCTTGGCTTCGTTTTCTTCAGAGGTTTCTATTTTAGCCGTGAATAATTGAATTTCTTGAGGCTTATTTTGAGTTTGCTCTATGTTGTTTTCTTTGTCTCCTTTCTCCTCTTTCTGTTTGTTCTCTTCCTCTACTTTGAGTTGTGCTTCTTTCTCTTCTTTTATTTTCTTTTCTTCTTCCAATGCTCTTCTGTACTGCAGGCAGGGAATGGCACTGAGAGGTATTTTATGATTACGTGTACTTCCAGGTCCTAAATAATATGGTCGAGTCATGGTGCACACTCTTGTCTTTTGTTCCAAGTACACTGGCATGCCACTGCTGTGCACTATTTTGATCCAGCCTTCAGGAAGTAAATCAAAATGGTTGTGAGCAATTTCCTCTAATTGAACTTTGCGTTTCAATCTGACTTTGGGTTCTTTCCTTCCAGTATCTTTGAACTTTTCGGGTAATCCTTCTTCAAGCATGGCATCCACATCGTCTATTGTTGGTCCTTCATCTTCTTCTACTGTTTCATAATCACTCGATTCAGAGTGTGATTGAGGGCATGCCTCATCTTCCTGCTCACTTTCTTCAAGATCATCAAGGATATCAAACTCTTGAAGATTTGGGAACATTTCAATTACATTTTCATCAGACAAATCAAGTTCCCGATTTTCATTCAAGTTTCCATCGGTATTTTTATAATCACAACCTGTAGTACCATCTGAAGAATTCGAACAATGTTTTTCAAAACTTTTGTGACTTTCTGAGTCGTTGTTTTCGTCTGAGGTGTAGGAATAACCTTCTTCACTACTAGGCTTGGATAATTCTTTTGATTTTTCTTTATCACAAATTTCTTCAATTTTGTCTCTTATTGCACTCTTGGGAACAGAAGCAGATCTCCGAGACGAGGAAGATGGACGAGGTGAGGGAGATGAACCAGACCGCTGAAAGGTCTTTTCAGAGCTACGTCTTGAATGTGGATGTAGGTCTGGAAAGCTACCGTCCGACAAATTATTACTTTTTCGATACTCAGAGTTCCCTTCTCCATTAGAGCTATCAAGTTTTCTTTCAGGGCACGGTGAATAATGTAGCTTTTTTCTAGGAGGAGAACTTCTGTGGTCTGACATTTTTGTAAAATCAAAGGATTAATCACTTGATTACAAAATAAGTAAAAACTATACTATTCATACAGACTAAATGGTGCACCGTTATCTTCTCGAAAGTGTAGAAATGTTATCTTTTGATGAACACACGCGCCACCAAGTCACAAGAAGCACCTAGAAGAAAAAACAGAGTTTTAGAAAAGGGGTAAATGCAGTAAAGGAAATTCAGTGAAACCTCAATAATTCAACTTAAACAGCCGGCCAGGAGGCCGGTTTTAGGAAAAGCCTGGAATGTCGAGAGAACATTAAATTAGTAAATTAGAGTTACCATTAAAGAAGTTTTGTATATGCAAGTAGCGAGTACTTGTATATTATGTGTTTCATCCCCAATTTGTTGCCACTAGCCAGTAATGTAGGGCCTAATAGTGCAGTTCAGCGTTAAAGCATGATTGGTTACTATTTCACTGCCCATGTAAAGTTTTTTTAATTTTTGAGTAACCTATTGCGGTTGTCCTGTTTCTTATAAAACTGTATTTATTGTCCAAATTTAAGAATTGATCCGCTCTTCTCCTTATTTATTACTGTTTGCTTCAGGGTTGTCAGCAGACTCATAAACAAAGTTCACACATTTCCCCCGGTTTTCCCGGCTAAAAAGTACAAAATTCCCGGCGACTAATATAGGCTACTTATAAGAAAAGCCCAATAAAAGTTGTAAAAACAAATTAAAATAACAGATATTGATAAATAATTAAAAACCCACTTACGTTTATTAGCCCTTAAGGCAAATTAACTCTTAATATTCACTTGACAAACACTGTAACTAAGGTTAAAAATTAACATTAATGAGTTAAAGATTTTGCAGAATCTTGTGCTACTGAGCTAGGCCTTCTGAAGTAGTTTTTAAATGCCGAAAGTTAAGATTTTCGCGTTATATATGCCGATAGTTACTTATGATTAACTGTAAACCGGTAAATACCAATAATTAATACTGTACAATTAAAACTTATGTATTTTCCAAAATTAACATAAATGTAATACTTTGAAACAAAATTTGTGATAGAAAATGGTTTTCTTAGGCCTACTGAAGCAGTTTTTCAAGGCTTATACTTGTCTGCGCCATAAATTTATGTACAACTAGAGGTGTGTCTTCCTGAAATTTTGGGTCTAGCCAAAATCGAGGTAATATTGTTACCATCTAAGACTGTCGTAGACCATAATCCTCTTCCGAGATCACTGCAAAATCCTGAATATTTTCCTCAGTAACAGAAAAAAATTATACTTTTTTATAACTAGAAATGTGCCTTCCTGAAATTTTCGGTCAAGCCAAAATACCAAAATTCACACACAACCCCCGGTTTTTCCCTGGTTCAAAAAATCACGCATAATTCCTGGGTTTTTTTTCAGGTTAGTGGACACCCTGTGAAAGTAAGCACACTAAATACTCTAATGATAGATGTATAAATGCATAGGCTACTTACTGTGCATCCAGTATGATCCAGTATATATCATCAAATGACCTGTCCTGCAGGAAGAACAGAGATTCCTGAAATGAAACAAAGGTTTATGGGTCATTTTCACAAACAGATAAAATTTAAGTCCCAAAGGTATGATAAAAATTTAAAAGTAGGCCTATTGTTGTACCACCAATGTTTTTTATCTACCCTTACTACCCTTGATTTAATACTTAACATAAGTTGTTGTACCCAAAACATCAATTCGGTCACTGTCTTAGACCTTAGGCCTGTAGCAATGTGTCTTAAAAACAATGTATTTTTCCTTTCTAAAAGATTTTAATTGTTAAACATGTTTAGATTTAAGCATAATAACGCCATTAAACAAATGAATTTAGTCGTTAAAAGATATTAACAACTTTTATCTTGCAAAGTTTCGCTGTTTCTCACATTTACTGCCGTACAAGAGTGAGAAGTCAAGACTCCCAAAAAATGTCCTGCCAATTACTGTTGGAGATACGTATGGTGGCAGTCTGGTTCAGTAGAAGTTCATGTTGCTTACGTTGCTTGTTTGACGACATTTAATCATTCAACTGTGGGAAAAAAAGGAAAATAGTGGCAAGGTTCTTACAGTACCTTAATTGCTCGTCATTTCGGATGGGTACCGTATTTAATTAGTACTATTCCAAAAACTATTAGGCCCTATAACAGTTTTTATCTCATCAAAATAAAAGTTGAAGTAAAAACATAACCTCAGGGCCGGATTTCCCAATAGGCCTGGTAGGCCCGGGCCTATGGGCGCAAGGTCCCAGAGGGCGCACGGCCGAGAGTATTTTTTTTATACCTAGGCTATCTAAAAATAAAAAAAATAAATAGTCACAGTTGATAAAAAAAACTCCAAAGCATTGTGATTCTGAAGTTCATAAGAAGAAATAATTGTTACGAAATCTAAACTATTTTGCAGAATTACGCATCAATTTCGTTTCAAAATTGGTAACGAACATTGGTTATGTTATACGGGAGTAGGCTGTAGGGATGTTGACGTTTACGAGCGCCCAAGGAGTACGCATCGTATTGCCACTGCACTGCCACTATGCTGGTTTGGGCTCGGCACTACTGATCAGAGTGATTAGGGGCGCATCTGGCTAGACATTGTTACTACCCTCACCTCACAAAACAAAAGTTATTAACTAATCTTTTGATTAGTTTACAACAATCTGCAGGATCGAGTTAATAAGTTGTGTTGAATATTAATACAACGATGAATTTACCATTAAAATTAACCAAAAAATATTATTCCCAGTTTGCATTAGAAAAATTCAATACCCTCCAAAGCACCAATAATGCTGTCATTTTCTCCTCAGACCTAAGGATCGACGGTTGGCCGGAATATTTCTCTGTTTTGCTTTGGAAATATATAACCTAGATGCAGTACGACCATAGATTAAATTTAACTCAAGTCGACTTCTTATGACATTGTTAATTCAAATTTTTTTCATGTCTAGTTCATGTTGGTGACACTGGACGTTAGTTTTGACGTAATTTGGTTCCATTATTTTAGGGTTAGTTCTATGATGTGTGTTTCAATTTCTTGTAATATAACCAGGAGACGACCTATTGTTGATGATTAGATCGTTTTATTTTGGATAAACTAGGTTTAAACATAAATCAAACATACTAGGTACTATTAAATAACAAGAATTGTTTTCAGCTAATCCAAAATGATGACAAATCTACTAAAGGAGTATGTTTAATCTATGGTATCACGTACTGTTTGGAGATCATGTTTTTTTGGCCTGGAATTGGAATCAATGGCCATGTTTTTTTTTTTTTTCAGGAATGCTCGGTGGGTTGAGTTGTTTTGTTTCAGTCCCACGGCCACAAACGTGAGCATTTATTAAAAGCATAAAATTGCTAAAAGTGTTTAAGACGGCATTTTGTTAAGGCTATAAACAAGTCAATTCTTAAAAAAAACTTGCAATGATTCCAACGAGGAGTGGTATTTAAGCAATAAACTTAGGTCAATGGGCATGATATAGTTTTTAATAAAGGTTTGAAGGAAAGTAACTGTGACCAGACTAGGGGGCGGAAAATTATTTGGGCCTAGGGGCGCAAAAATGCTAAATCCGGCCCTGCATAACCTACAAATTTGGTTGCAATTAGGTAGACCCTGATCACGTAGCGGAACTCGGAAGCTGAAATCGTCAATTCGGATGCACGACCGAATGATTTAATTGAATCCGAATTGAGGATTTATCAAACTTTGAATAGTCGGGAAAATTGATAAACTGATACAGTGATTGTTTTGTTAATTCTAATAATATCTCTTGAATGGAATTTTGCACAACTTTGATTGACATTTTATTGAATTTGTTCAACAAATTAAGCCATCATCTGTCTTTGTACTACCATTAGTTTCAGTTTTAGCCATTTATAGAGTAGGACACCTCTTATCTCTTGAATAAATTATCGGAACCCTTGGGATGCTGAACAATAGATAAACCATTAAGAATGAGACAAAAAATAATAGGGTCGCTCAACTGACTTTTGAGGTAAACAAACGCAGTTACAGTTGTCAATGTAACCATGAGATTACAACAATTAGTTGGATATTTAACATTGGGTAATACGTTGTAGTCTATTATTACGTAGAACTTCAGTCAAAGAACATTTCAAAACTGAAAATATAATGACTGTTTATGGAATGTATGTCTATGAAACAGTATTATCAGTAAAAGACAGATTTGATGAATTACAACTTATTGGAGACTACCACAATTACTTTACTAGAAATCGAGAAAATCTGGCCACTAGCTCATACTCTGCAACTTTTCACGAAAACACCTAAGTATGCCGGTTCAAAATTTTATAATAAACTTCCTAAAGAAATCAAATTGGAAACCTCAAAAAATAAATTTAAATCAAAATTGAAAAAGTTTCTTATCAACAAGGCTATGTACTCCTTTAAAGAGTTTTAGTTCCATAAGTTATATTGCTTTATTTCATAAGTTGAAACTTTTGGTTTTAAAATAATTTTATCTATTATTTTAATTTTGATATTTTCATGTTTAAACTTTTATATTGCACTGCTTGTTTTACTTTATTTGAGCTGAAAGAATGTTCATATGGATGGTATGTTGTTACGCCATGCTTGATAGTTATGAGTATTTTAGTTAAGTTAGATTTGTTAAATTACTCTTGACGCCATTCCTGTATCTATGTATTGTACTTTAATGAATAAAGTTATATGAAATGAAATGAAATTATAGGTTATCGTCTCCCACGATCGCGGCAAAAATTCTGACTACCTTTCTCCAGTGGCCGTGAAGACATCATCATCGTGTATTGGGTATAGGCCCTATACTGGAATTGAGTTTTACTGCTTGCCAATGCCAAGCCTTTTTGCATTGCGCCAAAGGGGTGATGATGATAAAGTTTTTATCAGAAAAAAGCTACTAATGTAGCAAAGTTTGGCATTACGAAGTAGCTGTTTGACTTGGCTAGAGTTTTAGAGTCGCGATAAGCAACTAATCCAAGGATCTCATTAGAAACCAAAAGGACTGGATATTTTTGCTTACTCTACGGGTCACAATCAGGGCATATATTCATTGAGGTTCAAAATTGTGCAATTTTAAGAATTTTCCGTGGATCACTGACCGACTCCAGAGCGTGTCTCGAATCCCATGGTGCTGAATGAACATTGGTTAACAATTTGGTTACCATTCACTTTCCCCAACAAACTTAATACGTCCTATAAGAAGTTTTTAAACTGTTCCTAGGGACCAACACTAAGTTACAACTTTCGCAAATGACTTTTTTGTCGCCGAGGCTTCCTGTAGATTACTACACATTATTACACCCCCAGATTACTAGACACCATACATAGATTACTAGACACCAAGCCCAATTTACTAGACACTATACCTACCTAGATTACTAGACACCAATCCCAATTTACTAGTCACTATACCTAGATTACTAGACATCACACCCAGATTACTAGACACCTCGCCCAGATTACGGTTAGGTTAGGTTAATCTAGGTAATGGTGTCTAGTAATCTGGGTGTGGTGTCTTGTAATCTTGGTGAGGTGTCTAGTGTAGGAAACTGTCCTGTCACGATGATCAAGCGAGTTTTTCAGGGGTGGTGTCTAGTAATCTAGGTGTGGTGTCTACAGGAAGTTTCGGCGACAAAAAAGTCATTTAAGAAAGTTGTAGTCTTGGTGTCTAAGAACAGTTTAAACACGTCTTATAGAACATTTTAGGACAGTTGGGGACACGTCTTATAGAACATTTTAGGACAGTTGGGGAAAGTGAATACTTACCTTTTGTTTGATTTCTGACAAGGGTGCCTATAGTACCTAGGCTAATTAAGGTCATGATGTGAAATAGAAGGGACTGGAAGTTGCCTATTGAGAATTATTTAAATTTCAGAGCCACTAACAATAATGAGGTCTAATAAGGTTTTGGCCTCGGCGGTGTTATGTGTTGAGTCCAGTGGGAGTAGGGCTATGTAGGCCTAAAGTCATGGGAGTAACTTAGAGGGAGTAAGCCTACTGTCATATTGCAAGATACAACATGTTTCTCAACTGCCATCAATCTTAACGATCCAGTTTAAGTTACAGTTGAAGTCACCCATAATCAAGACATAACTGGTAATTATTTGATATATCTACAATGCGATATCGTGTAATTTTTAGATGTCTACTTACAGTATTCTTCACGCTGAATCCAAAAATGCAATAAGTTTTTGTCAGAGAGATTCCTAAGTGGCCGTACAGTTAAATAACTAATATTAAGCTTCAGTTTTGTTGGGTTATTCACCTATTTGTGGTTTGGACGAGTCCAAGTTCTGGTGGCGACTAACACTAAAAGGGGTGGAAGGTTTATGGAGTGGAAACATTTGTCAGTTGTTTACATTCGATACTAAACAGACAAAACCACACACGACGCCATGAGAGTAAAATCAGAGTTACAATATGCAATAACAACTCAATTTTTAAAAGAAAATGGACTTTGGTGCCGTTTATCACGTAAAATATCAGTAAAAGAAGCTAGGCCACTGCCGACATGATCGTCCTCATTCCAATCCTCAACGTCTGTTTATGAATGTGCCATATAGTGCATAATCCCATAGTACATAATCCCATTGTGCCTAAAAGTGAAAACGTGCCACAGTGCATAATTTCATGTATCAACAACTAATAAATTATGTTATAATCTAATCTAACCCAACCCAACCTTAATATTAATTTTTAAATCGCATGTTATGTCAGAAAAGGCATGTGAGACAGATAGGTCGGACTTTATGCGGATTCGTGACAGTATTAAGTGTTTTGAAGTGAGGTTAGATTAGGAAGGCAAAGGTTAGGTTATAATGAACCGACTCATTAATTTATGCTACTTCCAGACTGTTTTTGCACAATTGAAATAGTGGGTGAAACACAATGAAATAACGATATAAAAAATGAGCAAAACCCGACCTACCTTCCTCACATGCCTAAATAAGAGCTGATTATTTGGTTTCAAAACGAACTTATTTCATTCCGCATTAAGTCGAGTATAAAAAGCTGTTTGCTCTCCTCCTCACTCAGTCCACAGTCGGACCCGTCCAGACCACGCCATATTACCATCAGTATAGCTCAATGAACCTTAGATTCGTAATTTTAACCTTCGTTTTACGGCCACTTATGAATCTCTCCGACAAAAAAACTGATTTTTGGATTCAGCGTGAAAAATACTGTAAGTAGACATCTAAAAATTACACGATATCACATTGTAGATATAGGCTAACTTATCAAATATTTGACACAAAACTAAGTTATAGCCTTAAAGCATGAGGCACAACAGGTTTTCAAAGTCTGACAGATGCCAGATGCCCAAAGCCATGAGGGCGATAACAGATAGGCTAGGCCTACCCAAGATAATGACATCTAACTTAGGTCACACAAACCAGTTTCTAAAAAAATTAATTCAGGTTTTGCCGTGTAAGCTTATTCACACGGAGATAATTGCAACTGTCTGGTCTCTAGTCCTTCCCTTAACTTCCGGTCTTGCCCAAAGGAACATTTCAGAAAAAAAGATGCAGTCCAACAAATCCGGATGAAATACTCTCCCCACCTAGGTGGCGTCCCTATCTCAACGATTGATAATCCCATGTTTCAGAATGCGTGGATTTCGAAATTTTACACCCTAAGAATCGCTCTGAGCTCGTCAACGTGCTAAGTGGGGGTAGCCTACAGTTTCTTAACTGGGCTACGCTAATATTGATTGAAACTATCGATTCGATTAGTAGTGGATGCTTAACAGCCTAGGCCTAGTGTGACTGCAGGCTTAGGATAGGATAACCTAGTTTTTATTTCAAGTTACATACCTATGACTCCTAGTCGTGGTCTTTTCTTAAAATTATTGAATGGTTGAATTAGTTCTCGTACTTCCAATTCCAACCTTAAATCCTTCCTAGTAGAACGATTAACGAATCATCCAGCAGATTCTCAAAATCACAATACCGGTAAAGTAAGTAGAAGAAGAAGAAGAAAGGGATGAGCATCGATACTCGATAGTTAATGCTCTCGAAACATCGATGTTTTTAAATCGATGGTAGGTTACCGTTGTTTTCGACAAACAAAAAGTATTTTTTGGCCGAGTATTAAAATATCGATGTTGATGTTATCAATAACTGAATTTGTAAATTAAGTAAAAAATGTAAAATGTGATGTGGAAAGCGAAAAGGGACCTCTTGTCGGCGATGCAAAATTTTCAGTACGGCCTATATAGGTAATTAAGGTCAAAAATATCGAAATTTGGGGTTTTATCGACTGTTATACCTCATTTAACTTAGAACAGGACAGCAACGGTTAAAATATCGAACTGAAGATGTAAAAGGTCGAAATACATCATTTTGTTTTGTTAGCCTCTGCACGGTGTAAGAAATGGGACCTCTTGTCGCTCCATGTTATTTTCATCATAACGTCAAGAGGTCCCATTTCCAATATTTACTTTATACACAGACTTTAGTCCAAAAAATGAATTGTCCTGCATTCTAGTGAAAATTTAGATAACTACAACGAATTCAGTTTACTGAGAACAAAATATCTCACAAATTTTGCGGTCCCGACAAGAGGTACCATTTCTTATTCTATTTGTAAAAAAAGCAAATCATGTGTCAAACTTCACCAGAAACAGTTATGACCAAAACTGAGTACAATATGTCTGTTAGAGAAAGGAAAAAGGCTGAGGGCACGTGGATCCCTAACAGACAGTGGAGAAAGAGGAAGCGAGAGTCCTTGAGTTCTCCTGGGGAAGGTTCAGGCGTATCACCGATGCGTAGAACCGGATCCGACAGTAACCCTGGGTCGTCTCAAAATCCTCCTCCTAAGAGAAATAAAAACTCTAATCAATCAGCAGATGGACTCGTTGCAGGAAAGGCCAGCTACAGAGATCAGCTTGTGGGTCACAAGTTGGCAGTAGCTCCAGCGGCCTATCCCGATGCGAGATTCTCTGTTGAGGAATGTGATTTGTTGCAGGACAAACTGATGGAGTTGGTGTTTGGTGATGACGGCGCCAACATTCCTCATCAGTTTGAAAAAATTTACCATGAGAAGGGTGCTCTTGTCGTAACTTGTGGTAATTCTGAAACAACTGACTGGCTAAAGAGGGTGGCACCGAAGCTGGCGCTGGGAAGTGAGGGGAGTATGGAGGTCATTGTAGCAGACTATAAGGATCTGTTGCGCACGACCAAAGTGCTCCTACGCACTGACAGGCGCTTGGCCAAGGTCGAAGCCTCTAAAGTGTTTGTTCAGATTGAGCGGCAAAATCCTGGTGTCACGACAAAGGACTGGCGCGTCATTGGTGGGAAGAGGAAGGATGATCATCAGATTCTTGTTCTTGCTATTGATGAAATGAATGCGCAGGTTCTGAAAGATCGTGGCTGGATTATCTATCTGGGTCTGGGGAAAATACAGCTCAGAGTTATCTCTGGTGCTCCCTCTGATGACTCAGGTCCTTCAAGCGAACCTACAACACAGTAAGGCTGCCACGGCTGTGTTCTGTCTGAGCACGGTTAAGCAGTCCTTAGATTATGCCTTGATTCAGGAACCCTGGATCAATAATTTTAGAATTGCGGGGATGGGAACTATAAAGGGTAGTATCTTCTCTGCATCTGTACCACACCCTAGAACTTGCATTTGGGTTAAAGAGGGGCTAAAATGTAATCCAGTTCTAGAGCTTTGTTCGAGGGACGTAACAGTAATTAAGACTGTATGTACTAAATCCAACATAAAACTGCTGCTGGCCTCTGTTTACATGCCACAGGGCGACGATGGACTGTTCCCATCGGCCGAGGTCAGAAGATTGGTCGACCTCGCACACGAGTCTGGATCCGAACTCGTGATAGGCTGCGACTCCAATGCCCATAATACGGCCTGGGGATGCAGGGACACTAACAACCGAGGTAGGTCACTTCTAGAATACATAGCTTCCTGCGGCCTACTTGTTGCAAATGTAGGCTCAGAACCAACTTTTTTAAGCAGGATAGGCCAATCAGTAATTGATCTTACCCTGTGTTCGGCGGGTATGGCTGACAGGATTATTGACTGGTCAGTGTCCCTTGAGCCATCCCTGTCTGATCATAGGCACATTGTCTTCGGGTTGGGGAATTTCTGCGGCGAGGTTCGCTTATTCAGGAGCCCAGTTAAAACCGACTGGGCATCCTTCAGAGCGGATCTTCGGGGCAGAATTGCCTCGAACCTTAACACATCTCCTATAAACACAGTTGATGCGCTTGACGAGGCGGCAGATCGTCTAACTAGATGCATAGTTACATCCTTTGAGGATAATTGTCCTTTGAGCAAGGGAAAGAGCAACAGGGCTAGTTGGTGGGGTCCTGAACTTGCCTCTCTTAGGAAGAGAGTAAGGGCCCAATTTAGGCGAGCAAAGATAACCAATAATTGGGATATATACCATACAACTCTCACAGAATATAACCATGCAGTACGTAAGGCCAAAAGGCTTTCATGGAAAAATTTTTGTGGAAATTTAGAGAGTATCAAGGATACTTCTAGAATACATAAGGTACTTGTTAGAGACAGGCATGTTACTTTGGGTGCCGTTGAGGGACCGGATGGTGTAATGGCTTTTGAACCTACCGAAATACTAAAGGTTATGGTAAAAACTCATTTCCCTGGTTGTATTGTTTCTGAAGTGCAGCAGGAGGAGGTGAGTCCAGAGCGGCCTAACCTGGGCCGTCGTGCCACTCATTCTATGTGGAGCACTGCTTGCCGCATAGTCACCTTCAGCAAGGTAAGATGGGCTGTTGGCTTATTACGACCCTTCAAATCGCCGGGTCCTGATGAGGTAAGACCTGTTTGTTTGCAGGAGGGTCTTGATACAATTATACACCCACTCTGTAAACTTTTCAGAGCCAGCTTAGCCTTAGGACATATTCCCTTAGGGTGGTGTAATTCGCGTATCGCATTTATTCCTAAACCAGGAAGGGATAGTTACACTGACCCTAAGTCATTCAGACCCATTTCTCTATCTTCTTTCTTTCTTAAGATCCTAGAAAAGTTGGTCTCAAGATATATGATGGATACAGCTCTTAGGACACATCCTTTACATATTAATCAGCATGCGTATGTCTCAGGAAGATTATGCGAGACTGCGTTGCACCAACTTGTAAGCAAGATTGAGAAAGCTCTAGAGAGCAGTGAAGTGGCCCTGGGTGCCTTTCTCGATATTCAAGGTGCTTTTGACAATACTGGTACTCCAGCGATTCTTAATGCGGTGAGAGCAAGAGGTTTTCACGGTATAATATGTAGATGGATTGAATCCTTGCTTCTCAGTAGGAAGGTTAGGCTCTCACTCCACAATGATACGATCGAGGCAAGAACTACTCGAGGATGTCCTCAGGGGGGGTTCTTTCTCCTCTACTTTGGAATTTGGTAGCAGACGACCTTATAAGGACCCTCAACGAAAGTGGGGTTTTCGCCTTAGGTTATGCTGATGATGTTGCAATCCTTGTGGTTGGAAAGTTCCACGGAACCATAACTGACCTTATGAATAGAGCTTTAAGGGTAGTGGACCGTTGGTGCCAGGAAGTTGGGCTCTCTATAAATCCCAGGAAAGTTGTAATGGTACCCTTCACAAGAAGGAGGAAACTGGATGGGATCGGCCCACTAAGACTGCAGGGTACTGTAATAGAGCTGCAGAATCAGGTGAAGTATCTTGGTGTAATTTTGGATAGATCACTTCACTGGGGACCACACCTTCAAAAAGTCACTGAGCGTGGCAAATGGTCCCTTATGGCATGCAGGCGGATGGTAAGTGGCACATGGGGGTTACAGCCCAAACTTATGCACTGGCTGTATGTATCTGTTGTTCGACCCGCCCTTACATATGGTTCGCTTGTGTGGTGGCCAAAGATGGAATCAACTATAGCTGTTAAAGCTTTAGCAGGAGTTCAGAGGCTTGCTCTTATTATGATAACTGGGGCAGTAAGTAGCTGTCCTGGAGCGGCACTTGACTGTCTGCTTGACATGCTACCTATTGACATTTACATTAAGGTGGTAGCAAGTAAAACAGCCCAACGCCTTAGATGCGAAAACTTATGGATAGCCTCAGGGAACAATAAAGGGCACTCTAAAATTGTTCAGGTGGTACATAATGATGAATTGGACTTACCTTCAGATCACATGTCCAAAAAATACTACTTTGGAAAGCCTTTCAAAGTACTAATACCAGATAGGAAGGATTGGTCCGGCGGAAAAGGACCCATACCCACAGGTGACTTAGAATGCTATACTGATGGTTCTAAGATCAAAAATGGGGGCACTGGAGCAGGTGTGCATTGGATGAATGGAGGCACTGGTATTTGTCTTCCAATGGGGGTGTACCCAACTGTCTTTCAAGCGGAGGTCACTGCCATTCTAGTTTGTGCTCAAGAACATCTTAACAAAGATATCAGAGACAAAACAATTAATATCTTTACTGATAGTCAAGCGACCTTAAAAGCATTAAACTCTTACGAATTCAACTCCAGGCTCGTGTGGGATTGTCTTGCTTCTGTGTCTGAGTTGGGTAGGAGAAATGACCTTACGCTTTGCTGGGTACCAGGACACTCAGGCATTAAGGGAAATGAAGCTGCAGACAGATTGGCAAACACTGCCTCTGCGACAACATTGTTAGGCCCGCAACCCTTCTGTGGCATCTCACGAAACAGTGTATGTTCTGCGATTGCGTCATGGGCCAAGGAAAAGCATCGCAAACGCTGGATCGATGTTCCCCTCCTTAGGGTCAGCAAGCTTACTCTGTTTAGGCCTTCCAAAAAGGTTGCCTGTGACCTCTTGAGACTAGACAGACGTAGAATTAAATTAATTGTTGAACTGATAACTGGTCATGGAAGATTCAGGAAACATCTACAACGGATGGGCTTATATGATGGTGAACCGATCTGTAGGTACTGTGATAGGTCAGAAGAGACAGCTGATCACTTACTCTTTGATTGTAATGAGCT